TAAGTTAAAAAACTGTGTAAATGTTCGACCCAAGTCCGTATTCACAGACAAAGAAGCTTTTAAATGCCCGAAGTCTCTTCACGAAAAATATATGTTGCCTTTCATGCGGACAAAGCTTCAAATAATATGTTTGTTGTTTGTAAATCCTACTACTACGAGTGTCTTATCAATGAATTAGGAATATATGAACACTCGGGTCATCTCTCGTACAAAACCGTAACTCTTGATAAGAATGACATCTTAGTTAACCATAAGTCCTTCTTGGCCTTATTGAATATTTCAATGAGCAACAAATCTGAGGACTTATCTTATTTGTTTGGATATCTAAACTTCACAAAGCTCCCTACAAACAACGGTACATTGCCGGCTCATCTGCATGTTCAACCAAAGAATCGTCTGTTAGATTAAACAAAATTTTGTCCGCAGTGAAAGAGGGATTACAGAAATACTGTGACATTGTCTACTAACGTAGTGTGGCATTAACAATGTGTGGATTCTTAAGATATCAAAAGAACCTCTAGAAAATTTTAAATCTCGGTCATTCTCTGAAATAAATTTTATCAACACCTTCGATTTTTCAAGCCTTTACACCACCATACCAGATGATAAATTGAAAACCCGTCTTAAAAAGATAATCCACAATGCTTTCCTTCATAACAAAAATTGTACCATATGTTACAAATTTATAGTTTTGTCATATAATTCGGCATATTTTATTAAAAGTGAGTCCGACAATAAAACATGCTATACCGATAAACAAGTGATCAGTATGCTTGAGTTTCTCATTGGCAACATATTTGTTGAATTTGGAGGTCGAATTTCAAAGCAGGTTGTCGGCATTCCTATGGGATCCAACTGTGCACCTCTCCCTTTCGACCTTTTCTTAACTTCATTTCAGCCATAGTTACTTCAGACACTTGTATAAAACAAGAAGATCAAAGAAGCTATGCCATTTAATTTCACATACAGGTATATTGATGATGTTCTTTCCATTAACAATCCAAACTTTTCTGATTTGGTTCAATTTATAAACTCTTGAACACTATAAATTGAACAAATCACAAATGCAGCTTTCTCCACTTCATTACTAGACATCGAATTTGAAAACAGCCGTCGTCTGAGTACCAGAATCTATGACAAACGAGACGACTTCAATTTTGAAACTATAATTTTTTCTCACCTTAGCAGCAATATACCAACTCCACCGCGTCTGGAGTGTACATTTCCCAACTCAAACGATATTCAAGAGTTTGCAGTGCTACTCAGACTTTGTAAAACGTCATCGGTGTCTGAGCGAAAAATTAATGAGCCAGGGTTTTGTCAAAGAACGTCCTTTTTCTTCATCGGAAAGTACCAAGACCAAGTCGATAAATATTCAGTGTGTAATTCACCAAAAAAAAAAGATGGTCTTGCGTTATAGATTGTAGGTGCTGAAGCTGTTTATCTTTTTATTTACTTAACCGTTTTCCCTTTATTTGTCTTTGAGCTACTAGTATGAAGTCCCTTTTGATCGTAAGACTCTTGACGTGACTCGGTATTTATATATCCAGCTATCGGGTTTTTGGCTTTGGTCGTTTCAGGTGAAGGTATGTCTTGATATGCCATTCGGAAGCAAGATGTAATAGTGTTGTTTTCGTTTTGTTTATCCCTGTATTTATATTTTACTTGATATGTACTTTATTGAAAAATTGTGGTTATTGATAAATTGTATACTATATACTGTATGTATACTATCAACTACAAAACTTTTTTTTTTGACGTCCTTGTCAAATTTACCAGTGAGTACAACAACTTTTATGTTGGCGTCTTTGTTAGTTTAATATCTTAGTTTGTTTGAACTTTTTAGTAAGTTGTGTTGTAACATTTACACAATTTTGGCTGATGGACGCTAATTATTGTCACATTAACCTGTCATGCCTGTTTAGGATGCTCACCCAATTTTGTCAAAACAACGGAACTTTAAACAACTGCGCGCATACAAAAGTAGGGGGTGGTAGCTAGCTTAAAGACCAGGTTTAACCCAGGCAACCTTTTCTTCATAAATGGCCTGTACCAAATCAGGAATATGACAGTTGTTTTCCAATCATTCCGTTGGTTGATGAAGTCTAAAGTTTGATTTTGTCCGGTTTTATGGAATCCCGCTTTTTTTAATTTACTTTGGAGTTTCGGTATTTTTGTTATACTTTTTTTTGTAAATATTAATGCAGTTTCATGAAGACTGACAAATATTTCTCGCATCTCGCATATTCCGGACAAAAACTTCTTTACAACAAACAAAATTTGTATATTCGGCAAAGTTGAAAGACTTAAGTTGAAGGGCGGGAAATATGTTCAGTCCTTAGAAAAAGAGAATATCTTGGAAAGAATAAGAAAGTAATCCTTTCGATAGACCACCTTTATATAGACGCCTCACAGAGTTGTTGCAAGGATTCTTAGACGTAGTAAGAGCACGAGGCTCTCCCTACACGAGGCGTCAAATTCAACTCATGATTTCGATTGTACGTGGTCGTGTATTTATACTTGCCACAAAGTAGAAATGGCCCTCGACGTAGGTCTTACTGCCGCACTCTCCATATTTCTTTTCCCCCATCAAATCTCGGGGATTGTTCAAGTAATTAATTGATAAAATATTCATATTTTTATAAAAGGGATTGTATTCAAGACCCCTCTTTCTGGTAAACGCCCCTATAGAATCATTACAGAGTTGTTACATTCCTTGAAGGGGTTTTTAACGCATCAAGAGCATTACACGAGTCGTCGAATTTATCTCCCGTGCAATTCCGATTAGACGTGGCTGCGTATTTATACACCCCGCAACGCCCAAAGGACCCAAACAATCGTGTTTTACATTTAAGTACAGATTATGTGACATCTCTCTTGTTGAAAGTTGATTATAGAAATTTAGGCTATTGCTGATACTTTCTTTGTAACGTATATTCTTTTTTTATATAATTATTCCGTTGACTATTTTGTAAATTCTAACAGCACTAAGTGTGTACTTCGTTTAGGTTAAATGAAAATAACACTATAAAAAAATTAGTGCGTCCGAATTGCTTTTCTGGATTTATCTTCGTCGGTAAACTAGCTTTATATATAATTTCTCTGCTCATATAGATTACTTTTAATAAGTTCGCAACTCCTTTAGATAAAGTTTGACTGCAGCAATCGGTTATTCTGTCGATCCATTCTGTTTTAATAATTCCACTGTCCAAGCTTACATGAATAAGGGTTGGTCCAGAATTTATAATTTTGATGAATATTCAAATATTCAATTTGCACTTTATTACTTTAAAAAAGGTTTAAATTCCATCCAGGATATAAAAAAAAACATCTAATTAACGACTTACATTCGTTTTCTTCGTGTAGCTTCCCAATCATTTATACCCTTGGTTCAGCTTTGCGTCCCAGATGAAATGAATGGCTATTCAAGAAATGTGCATTGTAATTATAATTTATCTGTACATATTTCTATACGTTGTATTCAAGACAAGGCCAGAACCATAAAAGGAGTTACAATAACATTATAACTGTATGTTAATTAATATTTTGTCTAACATCTAGGCATTAATTAATATAACCTAAATATTTCATTATAGACAGAGATTTTCGTTAGTGAATAACCATATAAATGTTGCCTAATTTGGGATGTCTGAAAAATCAAAACACATATTGGTTACCTCTTTGAATACCATAATCCTATCATCATAGTATGCTGGACAACGAATAATGAAATATAATTTATCTTCAACCAGATCATTCTATAAAAACTCTTATATCTGTCTTTCTATTTTGCGATAATGGGCCGCACTATTCCTCATTTACCGATGATGATGTGTCACTTTTCACCCGAAAATAGTTTAAAGAGAAAAACATTTTTTTTGTTTGAAAAAAAATCTAATTTACCACTTTTTGTATTGTTTTTTTTTTAGTTCGAAAATGCAATAAAAGTTTTACTAAGTATTTTGTTTAACCAACCTGTTAAAACAAAATCAACTTTAAATCTGAATTTTGAATATTCAGCTATTAAGTTGAATAGCAGCTTTCAATATTTTTATAGCAAACCTACTTTTGATACAAATGTAAGCCTAATTTTTTTGCATTCCTTTGCAAGACTATAATATTGTGTTTTTAGAATTCGAATTTTCTTTACAGCAATTTATAACCTTTTTAATTGTATTTCCTTTGAATGGAATAAAGAACATATTTTCTTCGTAGGGATTAGTTGATTTTTTAAGCTGGTTTTATTAACATTAATTTAGGGCTATTACAATTGTAATTCACGTTCCTCCATACAGGAATTAATTGTGGGGTTTATGTCTTTTTCTTTACAATATATGTATCTAACAAGTTCTTACATATTAGAGGAATTTATCGCGGTTTTGCATTGTATATTTCCTCTACGAGCAATACTTTTGTAATGGAAGTTCTCCCGTTGTATCTGTCTTTCGAGTATTTGTATCTGTCTTTCGAGTATTCGTATCTGTCGGTCCGTGTTGAGGTACAAACAAATCTCCGATCGCCCAGTTTGCCAATATTTAACTGTAACAGGTAATGCACGCACAAATTTAAGTAAAAAAATCCAGGAGATTTATACAGCCTTCAATATACAGGAACTAAGAGACCACAATGTTCCCGTACTTCCATATATACTCTGTAGACCTTTTTCGAGAACTGTAACTTTACTTTTATTAACAAAATTCTACGACCAAAGCAGTCATGGTAGAAATGTATGAATTAACCCCATGATTTAATTAGCATGGCAATATCAACTTGAGCTGTAAATTAAGTGTTAATAAAAGAGATAACATTTATCAGTGCATGGCAGAACGTGTACACTTATCCTACTAGACATTTGGTGTTATATAATTTAAGGGTATTCAATTAATCAAGACAGCTATTTTGGATTTTTTATGGAAATTAAAATGAGATATTCGTGATCCATGTTTTACATAGAGTTTGAATTATTGTAAATAGTATAAGGCAATCTAATACAGCCCCCGTTATCTGCGGTTTTTACTTGTTATGAATTCCAATACAATGCAAGTAATGGTGTGTCAAACTGTACTTATTGGATGAGTTCGACTAATTGATAGGCAATTTTGACAAATTAGTACCGCACCTCATCGCTGAAACATTGAATTTTCTACACTATATATAACCATTGCACAACCGTTGAGAATTCACTGAGAAACGGTGTTTTCCATTAACAAATATCAAATTTCACTGCAAAAATGCAATCTGTATAATATTTATAGTTCTGATGAAATGGTACCTACAGAGAGAAAAGATAAACATCCATGTAGGTAACAAGTCTAAACACAGATAAATAGTTTATTTGTAAGGTAAGGATTCATCTTTTTATAGTTTATAGTTTTAAATAATATTTGATTCATAATAAAACAATCAAAGCGAACACTTGTAGATGTAGAAGATGTATATTTATTTTATCATGCAGGAAATGTTAATCAAACAGATATTTCTAATTCTTATCACTACATATTACAATGTTATTACAATGTTATTGAATGGTACACGACCATTAGTATGAATTCCATCGCATGCAAGGAACGTGGACCTTTCATTAGGAGAAGACTTTATAAGTTTGATTACTTTTTTTTTTATCAAAAATGTACAGAGTATTTATCCTCCTATTTTGTACAACGACATAATACAGTTAAATTCTCTGAACTTATGTCGAGTACACGAAAACCAGTCCTGAAGAAGCTTTGTTCATTTATTAAAAATATTAATACTTTTATTTGTCCTCCTGGCTAGTGACTTTTGTAACCTCTCTCCTTGTTTTGTATATATTGTAAATAGTTATTGTTGTTATCTCTGTACTAATGTCAAGCATTGGCTTTATGAGAATAAAGATATATATACGATTTACTTGTGTCTCATCCCTTTTGCATATTTAAGCAAATAAAATATGTTTAAACTAAACCCGTCATTATTGTATATTTTGTACAAGTTACAATGATAATGTCTATTTTGATTTATCAGAAATCGAGATTTTGTATGTTCTGATATTTTTTAATAAAAATCGTCGTCATAAAGGTGAAATTAAAACAGCTGCTTCCATGGTCTGATGAAAATATCAATAAGGATAAAACTACTACTACACGAACTTTGTTATTTGATATTATACTGTACTTAAGTACAACTTTAACTATTATTTATCATTTCCTCTTTAGTCAATTGATTTGTCTCTTTACTACACATATATTATAAAATTACGATCCAACGGTGGAACATTAGTAAATTAGTATAAGTTATGTCGTCCCCGATGGTGGTGGATTGAATATCTTAAAGCTAACGAAATGTTTTGGGAATTTCATCAGATTATTTTTGGAGTAGCAGTAATGATCTCGAAACTCGACAGTTGTTAGAAATAATAATTAATTAATTGTTAGTCGTTACAAGTAAGATATCATTTCATGCAATTTTCCTCAATTAAATATTATCTTTTAAAATTTACTACTTATTTATTAGATTATTTCAAATTGTTACGATAGAAACAAGAATAATGCAGAAATATCGATAATTTTTTCTTTGCACTTATTGAATAGTGAGATATACGAAAGTAAACGCGCAGCCTCTGTTCGACTAAAGAAAAATAATGATTACCGGTATCTCATGTGAACAGCTATCAAAGAAGTCGTGTTTGCAGTTTGGCTACCTGTCTCTTTGAAGTGTCACCTGGAAATTTTTATGGCGTGTCTCAATCATAAACGTGAAAGTTTATATCTGAGATTAATATTTCAACCACATGTGTCGCAATAGTATTACAGTTGTACTTCAAGATTTAAAACATATTCGATATTTGGAGAAGAAAAACTAGTGATGAATTTCATTGTCGAAATTTCAAAGAGTTATTTATTCGTTGACTGGATTTTTAAGCGAAATCATACGAAATATGGATTATTCAGAGTAGATTTTTAAATTCCTGGCAATCTGATCAGAATTTTTAAATTTTTTAAATTTCAGTGGACAAATGTAATGAGCGACCTCTATCTGAGGGTTATCTTAGATACATACACCCACTTTGACATTTTGTTGACGGGTAGATGTGAATTGACGGGTAAAGCATGGTGTACTCTGTGAAGGGACCGTACAAACTTTGGCCATTGAGACAGGAATGGGACCAGTTACTTGCTCTTTACAGCGTTTTGTCATAGTAGTTATATTATTGTATGGTAAGTAAATGTTATAATTTAATAACATAATTATGCATTTTGAATACATTTAATTTTATAGAAAGGACTATAAGGGTACAAGTTAGAAACCCAAAGTCATGCCAGACTTACGTGGGGAACAGAGGGAACTGAGGGACAATTGCCTCTCCTCATCCCATGTATCCCACTCGAAGGTTTTTTGTTTAAATTTTAGAAAGGCAATGAAACACCTGAACGGACTGTATTTTTACTATAATATTTACTATGAAAATGCTGCATCTTTTGGTTATTTTTTTACTGGCTAAATTTATATTCTTTTAAAAAATCTGGTGAACTGTCCCCGAAGATACAATCTGCCAAGAAGCCATGGCAACACTACCGCATTGTCATGATTTGAATGATATAACTTGAAACTATGATTAAAACTACCTCGGGCAAAGTCAAAGTTGATCTTATACTATACATCTACTGTATACTTGGTTTAGATGTTCACACACTTTGTATATTTTTTTAACTTTTGATCTCGGCGAGCGTACCTGATGAACGTTATTCCAGAAAAAAAATATGTCGTACGCAATAAAATCGATAACATGCATTAGTATTACTACCACTCCGTCTTAATAGCTGATGGTTAATTGCAAGTCGTCGATAGTAAAAAAAAACAATTTTTCAGTATTGCACGACTTAAAAGGTACCTGTTGACTAATTTTTTAGTCTACAAAGTGAACCTTAAACGGGTTTCTCTTGCGGGTTTTTTCCTGACTGTTATATATTAAGGACTTTTTTTTTTGTTTTGGTGCTCACGGATGATTTACCTGCTTGGCTTCCAGGTTGTTTCAGAAACACGTGTAGCGCGCAAAACCAATATCAGTCGTTTTTATCCCCCACTCGAAAGTATCCGCCGCCAGAACGAAATTGGCATATGTGATCTTTTCTCCAGCTTAATTTCAAAGTTCCATGTTCTTTTTATGTGGCGAAACTAAAAATCTATAATGAATCATCGAGTCTGAATGAAAAAAGCAAGTTAGCAATTAAAACTAACAAAGGGTTTCCTACAGAGTTATGGACAGAACATATGTACATTTTGACCAATCATGGTTAAGGCTCAAAATTAAAGTCCTCAACTACATAATGTCTGTCCCCAGTCAGAAATCTCGTCTGTGGTTTTCTTGCTATATCCAAATTGTTTTGTCAACTAGGGAATTTGTTATTGGTGGCAGTTCTTAGGTAGAATTTGTTATTGGTGGCAGTTCTTAGGTAGCATCTGTTATAGTTTTCACACTTTCAGATTCGGGGCGATTTAAAGCTATTGCATATATATAGACACTTATCGTTTGTTGAAGACCACATGTTGACCTCTGGGTGTCTCATAATTTGGTGTGTAATTCATATCTCTCTTTTCGGGTCTATACATAGCCCTTGTTCTGGGAACAAGAAGAAATGTATGTCCACGTGCACTGATTTCACAGTCACGTCAATACAAAACAATCAAACACTGAGTAATTTTCAAAGAAAGTAATTATGCCGGTGAAATGTTCTTATTGAACTGGAAAAGGCATGCATGTTATTAACTCCGAAGTATATAAAAACTCAATATCCAACTCCCTTGAAGTATAGCATGCTTAATTAAGTGTACATGTATTTACTTACATGTGAATATAAGGACAATGATTTAGTCAGCGCATTGAAAACAAGTGGATCATAATTCTTTCAATTGTGCGACGATTATGATGCATCCCATCTTATAATTAGTTTGTCATACATGTAGGTTTGAATAAGTACTTTGTTGTTTACATGCAAATTACGTAATGTTGATTTTATGAGAAACTATTTAGTATTACGGTGATGCATAACTTTACGTTAAACCACATCAGAAATATAACAGGATGGCAGAAATAGGCCTCCATACAAAATAGATACTTATTTGTGCGGTTCGTTGGCAATACGATGGACACCAGACCCTTTTATCAATTATCGAGATTTTGGTCGTCACACAGACATTTAGGAAAATCGCTTTTATTGCTGTTTTTTATATCAAAGATATAGTGAGGCCTTCAACACAGAGCAAACTTACTCCTCGTTGCAAGATTAAGACGACCCCTAATACCGGTTTGACTGGAAACCTATGATAGATGTCGATATTGTTACATCTGTGCATTTAGGAACATAGTAATTGTGGAACAAATGATGACTGTAACGGACAGAGAAATACAACAAATACTGTTATTATGTATCCGTTTATCTCATTGAAAAAATACCGTAAAATACTAAATTTTAGAAAACAAGACTTCTGTTAGATACTTTGACTGGACAGAATTCAATATCCATGTATGACAAAGGTAATTAATTCGCATGGACTTCCTAAGAATTTCGAGCAGTTTGTTTTTATTGCCACGAAGTTCGCCCTCTAGATAATCAGAATCCTGCATTGTTTCTTAAAATATCATTCACTGATTACAAATTGCAGTTTATTTTACCGGATAATTATAAAAATCAAATACATACATTGCACACAATTCATAATACATCAAAATACACTCGACTTTACTACATCCCTCACTTTTCAGACGAGCTATTGGTCGATTGATTGATTGAGTGTATGTGATAAGTTGATGATTAACATACAGCGGCAAATATTGCATACATTTTCTGGACGATCTCGCATGTAATATAATTTGCTTTGTACAATTCTTAACGTGCTAGCTTCAGAGAAATGGTACGAAGGTAGACCGAGCATATATGTATCAAGCGGACTCTGAGTAAACTGGTCGACTCTTCCAAAATGCTGCATGCTGAACGGAGAAACAGTTTACCAATTATGAAGCTTTAGGTTAAGCCCACGATCTCTCTTACTTTATGAGAGTAGGCTACCAACAGATCCTAAAACAGTTCTACCAAATTCAGGTCGAGATCGGTCATTGGCTATGACATTAGAATGTATATATTATCGTGTCGTGGACAGTTAACAGAACTTTACTTTGTCTGGTGCCTTGTTTAAACATAATTAAACGGCAACTTTTCTAAAGAGAGCCAATAAAATCTTCTTTGAACACGACTGTCTCCGACAGTAATAAAAAATTTCGTCTAAGTCCAATTAATGGACAAATAGTTTAAGTAGGTACATTTATTTGTATGATCAATTGATAAACTATTTGATTACCTAAAAGTTATCTTTATTGTTGTCAAAACGTCTTATAATATCATCTTATCACCGATCGTGTCAATAGTTAGTCAATTTTTGCTTATTTATGATAAGATTGCAACCGATTACTTTTGTTTATAATGTTTTCAGGGTTTGGTCTCAAATGAGTAATAAATTCCAACATACCCTTAAAGAAAAAAATATCCCGTTGTCTTAAAGAGTCAATCCAGTCTAATCAATGCATAGCCTTAAGCTTATTAGACTTCATAAAATCAAGATATACTATCATTGGTGTCATACTAAAACAGTACTGCATAGACGCACTCTTAACTGTAAACCCAACGTCAATCAAATCGTCATTGTTCTTCCGGTTGGACTGTACGTCGGTGTCAACCTAGCCTCTAAAAGAACTGTTTAGTCCAGCGAACCGTACTTTACTCCGGAATAAATCCAGCCTCAAATAAATGAGTTTTCTAAATTCGTACAGTTAGAATAGAAAAAAAAGTTCATCTGTGCCACAAGTAATAAATAACTCAAGAAAAGTCACATTTCCCTTAGAACATGAAATTTCAGATGTAATTTTCAAAAGTGTAGAGTCCGAATCCTGACAGTCGAAGAAATTGATGTTTTAATCAGATTGTTTAATTCGTTCGTCATTTTATTGGTAGAAAAACATTTCTTTATTTCTTACAAATATTTCACCTAAATGTTTCCATTTCCAGTCTACATTGTTACAGCCATAAATATATCCAGGTTTGTGTAGTTCTCCCGTTGTTAAACGTTGCTAACCACCAGATAGAGTAAGTTTGGAATTGTGTCTTATGAACCGATCGAAAACATTTTAAATATTTCTATTGAATTTGTTTGATTCACGCTAAGTTTTTTTTACCTTTTCGACACTTAATTACTTAGTAGTTAAAGTGGAAATCTTTCATTCGATGTTTTACGGACGCCATCATGATTTGGTTAATATCTGAGCCACAGATGACCAAGATGACATTTTTTCCGATTGTCGAAGCCTTTTTGTATCATCTACCTCTTTTATTAAATTGTACAGAGATTTTTTTTTTTGCATGCAATATCAAGGAATAACCTATGCTTAATTTAAAAATCTGCGATTCAGCTGAAGCAAATAAATAAATAAATCAGTAATAAGTGAAAACAAGTATACAAATGAATAAATATATAAATAAGAAGGTAATAAGTAAAAAAGAGAATGCAAATAAATAAATAAATACTCATTTCACAAATTAATTGATTTTTCGGTGAAAAGGTGTTACACTGCTCGTACAAGATATGTTATCTGAATCAATTGGCCGAAGATAAAAGTGTTATTTATTTACATACAAACTATACAAACAAACAATAGTTCTCTA